GGGGGGAGGTGGGGGTGGGCGGTAAGCCTGTATCTGGCACCCAGCTGGGTGACCGTAGGCATTTGTTCAACTTCTTTGTGTCTTGATTTTCTCTTTCATAAAATGGAGCTATTAAAACGTATATCATTAGGATCAGCTAAGGCTTGTAAAGCACTCAAGACATGTCTATATGTTTCGGTGTCCAAGCTTCTAATCTGACACCAGCATCTTCTCCCCTAAAGTGCTCCTTATCTGAGGGACCGTGTCCCTGTCTGAGGGACCATCCCTGAGCCCTGGGCCTTGTTCTGGATGGTTCCCTCTTTCCTCCCCCTCCCCCAACCCGTCAGTCCCACAGCTTGGCCTCCTGTCTCATACACCAGCCTCCTCCCCGACACCCCACCCTCTCTCACCTGGGCCCCGCTCCAGGCTCAGGGTCTCCAGTTTCGTCCCCTCCACTCCTATTCACACAGTAGCTTTCTGATACTTCAATCTGATGCTGTCCTGCTTTGCCCACAGCCCTTCTGTGGCTCCCCAGTACCCTGTACCCAGTACCCCAGGACCCTAAATGACTCCAAACTCCTTAGCCTGTCAGTGAAGACCTTTTACCACCTGGCCCTGCTTCAGTCATACCTCTCCTACTGCAGCCACCGGCAGGGGTGGGTGTTTGCTGAACACAGACACACACACACACACACACACACACACACACACACGTCCCCCCAGCCCTTCACCTCTGTTGAGGAATGTCCCTGCCCTCCGGCCTAGAGGTCCAGGATCAGACTTCCTTCTTAGTCAACGCTTCACCTGTCCATTCACCTGTCCAGCCCCTCCAGGTTCTGCCACTGGGTGGGGGAGGGGGCTCTACCTGCCACCCCACCCCCCATTCCAGCCTGGGGCTCAGGTCTCCGACAACAGAACCAGAGCCACTCAGCAACGCTGGAACCCATTCGGGGGCGCCTGGGGCCCCTCGTCCCAAGCCAGGAGGGCTTCGGGGGAGGGGTGTGGCCCCTGGCAGACTGGCAGTGAGGCCCAGGGGGCTGGGGGGTGCCAGGGAGGTAGGGGCGAACCTCGCAGCGGGAGATACAAGTGCGGTTCTCTTTCCCCCACTGGGGGGGCCTCGGAGCCGGTGGTGGGGCCGAAGGCTTCAAAGGCAAAGCCTGTGGGGTGAGGGCGACAGCAGGGCAGTGCCCGGTGGCAGGGGCACCATGGCCACCATCCAGTCCGAGACCGACTGCTATGACATCATTGAGGTGCTAGGCAAGGGAACCTTCGGGGAGGTGGCCAAGGGCTGGCGGCGAAGCACGGGGGAGATGGTGGCCATCAAGATCCTCAAGAACGATGCCTACCGCAACCGCATCATCAAGAATGAGCTTAAGCTTCTGCGCTGCATGAGAGGCCTGGACCCAGAGGAGGCCCACGTCATCCGCTTCCTCGAGTTCTTCCATGATGCCCTCAAATTCTACCTGGTCTTTGAGCTGCTGGAGCAAAACCTCTTCGAATTCCAGAAGGAGAACAACTTCGCACCCCTCCCTGCCCGCCACATCCGCACGGTCACCCTGCAGGTGCTCAGAGCCCTGGCTCGGCTCAAGGAGCTGGCGATTATCCATGCCGATCTCAAGCCCGAGAACATCATGCTGGTGGACCAGACCCGCTGCCCCTTTAGGGTCAAGGTGAGTGGGGCGGCCCTGGGGTGACGGTGTCCGTCGTTCCGGTCTTCTCCTGGCTTCCCCCAGCCCTAGACGCCCTCCTGTCACCATGGGCTCCCTTGTCCCGCCTACCCCACCCCCCACGCCACTGAAGTCTCCCCTGCCCTACCCTGCCCTTGATGCCTGTCCCCACCTCCTGGTCCTAAAATCCTCATCTCCCTGTCCCGATTCTGACATCCTCTCTCTCTCAGACCTGAGGCCTCTCTTCCTTGTCCAGTTCCTAGTTCACCTCCTCGAGGCCCAGTCCTGTCTCTGCGGGGCTGACATTCTGGTGGGGGAAATGGAGTCGCCAAGACAAATGAGTCAAATATAGTATATGAGTGAGAAGGAGAAAAGATAAAGTAGGGAGGAGGATGTGGGGTGTTGACTGGTGGTGCTGAGTGAAACTGTCGACAAGGAGGTCAGGGAGGCCTCACTGGGAAGGTGACATTTGAGAAAAGTCCCAAAGGAAGGAGGTAACCATGTAGACATCTGGGGAAAAGCATCTGGGTAGAAGGAAAAACTAGTGCAAAGGCCCTGAGGTAGGAGTGATCTGAGTCTATGTGTTTGAGAAGCACCCCAGAGCCCAGGGTGGCTGAAGCAGGGTGAGAAGAGGAGAAGGAAAGGGGATCAGGGAGGTGACGGGGACCGGTCACACAGGGCCTTGCAGGCCACAAGCCCCTGGTCCCCTCCATCTCATTCCCGGCCCCTCTGCCTGCCTGTGTCCCCTCCCATCCCAGCCCCAATCCCTTTGCCCTAGCACCCCTGTCTGTGCCCCCAATCCCAGCCCTGGCGCCTCGGTCCACTTGTGGGTTTGCTACTGTCTGGGGATGGGTCTGAACTAGAAGCTCCGTGAAGGCAGCCACGTCAGATCTGTCGGCATCTGCCAGCACAGCCCTGTGGCGGAGACAATGCTAAATGAATGTCAGAGTCACGGGGAGATATAGAGACATGAAAAGGCAGATCATTTTGCCCTAAGAGATGGAAGGACAGAGACCCAAGGAAAGAGAGGCTCCCACGAACACAGCAGGAAACAGGACGGATCCACAACACCTGGCCAGTGTTGGCACCCCTCCCGTGTCTGTGGAATGGATGGATGGATGGATCCCATGAACACTGAGTGCCCAGGGTCCCTCAAGCTCTGAGATTCAGGCCTCAGCAGTCTGTATTTAGAGTCCGGATTAAGAGTCATTTCATCACACCACCTCCTGCACCTAGAAAGTGAGGGGTAGCTGAATGAAAAGCAGGGAAACTCGGAGAGGGAAACTGAGGCAGGGACCAAGATAGAGTCTTGGACATTCAGAGTGAAAATGGCCCATGGCCCTGAGAGAGACAGACTTTCAGCCACATTCACAGTGCTGGTTCAGCAGGTGCTCGTCGAGCCCCTGTCATGTTCCGAGGGCCTGCGAGGGATGTGAACAGTGTCTGATGATAAAGATAGAAGAGGGTCGGGGCTTCAGGGAGGTGTCTTCCTAGCAGTGACACAGAGATGGAGACAGAGAGAGACGCTGAGAGATGAGAGGCACGATGAACAGGCAAACAATGAAAAGGCAAAAAAAAAAAAAAAAAAGAACAAGAGAGTTACAAACAAGAGGCAGAAAGAATGGCAGGGACATAAAGCTGATTCATTCATTCATTCATTCATTCACTCACTCTTGACGGAGCCCCTAGCTGTGTGCTGGGTACTGTTCTAAGTTTCTAGGGAGGCAGCAGTGAAACAGACAAAATCCCTGCCCTGATGGGACTGACATCCTAGCTGGGTAGAGAGACAATGAACTCAACTGAAAGGTAAAATGTATGGTGTGTGAGGTGGTGTTCAGAGCTCTGGAGAAAAGCAGAGTGCTGGGAAGGGGAATAGGAACGGTGGGGGAGGCTGTTTTTCATAGGATGGGCAGGGGAGGTCTCACTGAGAAGGTAACATTTGAGACCTGAGAGGAGGGAACCGTGTGGACATCTGGGGGAAGAGCATTCTGGGCAGAGGGATCAGCCAGTGCAAAGTCTCCGAGCTGGGAATGCACCTGGCTTATTTAAGGGACAGTGAGAGGCTCATGCAAGGGGGAAAGGGGGAGGAGCTGAGGGCAGAGAGGTGATGGGGCAGATTGCTCAAGCTTTGGGGGCCACACTGAGGCCATTGGCTTTCATCACAGGATGTGATAAAGCCACAGGGGGGTTCTGAGTAGGGGAAGGACGTGATCTGAGTCAGGTCTTCATAGGATCTCTCAGGGTGCATCTGATGCAGAGACTGGGGCACCGAAGGAGGAGCAGGGAGACCAGAGAAGAGGCCCTTACATTGGCCTCAGCGGGAGACGATGGAGGACAGGACGGGGCAGTGGGGGGCGATGAGGCTGGGATACAGAGTGGGCAGATTCTGGATCTGTTCAGAAGGTGGAACCAACAAGATTTGCTGATGGACGAGGTGTAGACCGAAGGACAAAGAGAGGGATCCTAACCCTCACAGACATAGGTTCTAGTGGAAAGAAACAGACGGAGAAACCAACATGCAAACCAGAGACATCGACTGGCAAAGACAGGGACATAAATGAGAGATAAAGACTCCCAGACACGGCGATGGCCAAATGGCAGATGCAGAAAGACACTGGCGAGAGACACTGGGGAGGCCTCGATCGGCTGTCCCTGTCCCTCGCCCTGCCCACCTGCCTCCCTCCCCCGACACAGGTGATTGACTTCGGCTCAGCCAGCATTTTCAGCGAGGTGCGCTACGTGAAAGAGCCATACATCCAGTCGCGCTTCTACCGGGCCCCCGAGATTCTGCTGGGGCTGCCCTTCTGTGAGAAGGTGGACGTGTGGTCCCTGGGCTGTGTCATGGCTGAGCTGCACCTGGGCTGGCCCCTCTACCCGGGCAACAACGAGTACGACCAGGTGCGCTACATCTGTGAGACCCAGGGCTTGCCCAAGCCCCACCTGCTGCACGCCGCCCGCAAGGCCCACCACTTCTTCAAGCGCAACCCTCACCCTGATGCCAGCAACCCCTGGCAGCTCAAGTCCTCGGCCGACTACCTGGCTGAGACCAAGGTAGGGGCGCAGGCGGGGCGAGGGCAGCGGTGGCGGGGGGTGGGGGCTGCTGCATCGCATCGAGAAAAAAGAAATCTAGGTTAGACCTCGGAGAGGACCGGAAGTTCGAGGGTCAGCTGCGGGGGTGGTCACAGCATGAGAGACGTGGGTGAGACCGAAGGTGGCACTGCAGGTGGATGGTGGCTCCTCGGAGTTTCATGGCCGGGGGCAGCACGCTAGTGTGGCAGGGAGGTTCGACCACTGGGAGCCCTGGAGGACCGGGCTCGGGGGTGGAGGACCAGAGGTTTCGAACAGCCCCTCTGCTAGCAGCTGGTAGGGGCCGGACCCATGGATCTAGGGAGGACTACAGGTGTGGGGGGGGAGTGAAACTTGGCTCAGTGAGACTCTGGGTTAGATGACAGGAGGACCACAGAACACAGGTACCTTTCCTGCAGCAGTAGGAGGGCTCTGGGTCAGACCAGGGCGGTG